TTTTTTTCCCCCTTTCCCTTATCTTTCTCGCTTCTGCTTTCTATAAATATAGTGTCACCTCCGAAAGGGTGGAGAAAGGCAACGGCGCTAAGTTTTCCCTCCTTTCTTTTTCTTTCCCTTTTCTTCTTTTCTTTCCTCCTTTCCCTCTCTTTATTGGGGTCCAAGGTTTTGTTTATATAAAATGAAAAATGATTCCATATAGTACTATTTAGTGCTTCACTAAGTCTAAATTATAATCAAGTCCCTTAGTTTCTATTTTATATAATATTTAGTAATTAACTTCCAATACTCATTTCTATCTTTGTGAACAATTGATTTTGGGTCTACTCAAATAACATCTTCGGTTAGTTTAAAAAAAAAAAAAAAAATGAAGCTTGAAAGACATACCCACGCATCTATGTCCAAAATTTAAACTTTTTTAGCCATGTCCCCGTATCCTACATTTTAGAATATAAAAGATCTGATACTTAGATACATACCCGTACCCCATTCCTATACCCAAATCCTAGCATCATAGATTTTTCGTAAGCGACAATTCCATTAAGATCTCATCGGGGAGAATCAGTACAAATCAGATTTTAAACATTTTGCAATTTTCTTTTCAATACCACAATTTGTGGCATCGGGGGAGAAAATTCTAATGACATCTAGCTCGAGTTCAGCTACGAACAATGTGTTTCAATGATCATGTTTCCAACAATCTGCATCACGCAGTAACATCTTTTCTTTTCAGCACACAATACATCATGTTCAGCAAATTTTTTGCCACCAGCAACAAATTCAACCAGTTTTCTCCTCCTTAATACATAAACTAATCCCAACACATAAACTAATCCATAATCTCTCGCTTACAATCTCCAATTCAGTAGATTTTTAACCTTTAGCAACAAATTCAACCAGTTTTCTTGTTCTTAATCCACGAACTAACCCAAAAATACCAACTTACCCGTTATTCTCGTTTTTATTCTTCAGATCAGGAAATTTTTAACCTCCAGCAACAAATTCAACCAGTTTTCTCATTCTTAATCCATAAACTCATCTCAATATACCAACTATTCCATAATCTCCATTTTATCTCATGTTTAATTTTTATACCTCCAGCACTAAATTCAACCAGCTTTCTCCATAAACTAACCCCAACATGCCAACAATAAAAAAATTAAAGAACCATAGAAACCCATCAAGATTTTAAGCATAATTACTTAAAAAAAGTTTCCTACACAATTTTAAATCCACCAAAATCGATAATATAACAAGGAAATAGAAAAACCCACAAACAAACGAGCATGAAATGTAGTCAATCGAGCATAGGAATCCAAAACTGAAATTATAATTATATATTATGAATAAAAATAAAAAGAATGTAAAGAAATAGCAGCTGTATGAATGTATTACGACTTCCGATTTGCCAATGAGTTTGGCTACAGTGGAAGTGGCTTCAGAGAGGATGAATGAGGTGTCAATGTCCTCCAGGCTCACGTTAGCCGACAGATTCAGGCACGGCATTTTTCCCCACAAAATACTTCTTTCTCTCACACTGACTTCACGCACTCTGGAATATTCTTATTTTGTTATCCAAGGAGGAAAACAGTTAAAAATCTTCAAAACACTACTCCGATTCAATTTGGTGCTCCATTTAGTGCTATTTATGTTCATTTTCCAACCATGAAAAAAATCCTGGTTAGATCATGGGCCAATCTAGCCAATAATGACTATCACGATATATAAAAATGACTTCGGTCCTCTATGAATGCTTTTAATACATGCTTAATCATAGTTTGAGATAGCAAATTGATTTGATTTTTTTGTCAACTTTGATCGATCACATGATAGGTCGCCTAACCAACAACTTGTATGTCACGTTTGACTCTAGATTAGATCCAGCTCGTTTCGTAGAATTTTCTAATTGATTCCAACCAAGCACAAATCACATGGTATTGTATTGAATTTGACCAAGTTTCAAATGTGACATAAAAACGATTGATTGGTTTGAGTTTTTTAACTTTTAATTCTTCTATGCATGCTCAATCATAGTTTAAGTCTTTGAGATAACAAATTGCATAAATTAAACTTTTTTTTATCAGTACACATTTTGCCTTTTTTAACCACTTTTTGTAGACTGCTCGACAAGTCAACTGGCCTACAATCATTTCTTTCTTTCCTTACGCACGGTTGTTCACACAAAATTTATATTTATTTCTCCCTCTCCATTGAGGTGAGTAGGGTTGAGATAGACACCTGAATCTTGTCACATTTGACTCTAAATTAGGATCTAGATTGTTTTGTAGAGTTTTCAACTCAAGTCCAATCAAACCAAATCAAATTACATGAGTTTGACCAAGTTTATACTTTGCATCCAATATGATTCTACTTTGGCTATGATCAAGTTGAAAGTCAAGTGTGATATGCCAACCTATCAAGTGGTGGCGTTTGGTTCAACTTGGAAAAATCTAATACATATGAATA